AAGCAAGCAAGCAAGCAAGCAAGCAAGCAAGCAAGGAAGGGAGGGAGGGAGGGAGAGAGGGAGGAAAGGAGGAAGGGAGAAAGGAAAGAATGGAAGGAGTGAGGGAAAATATAATGAACCAAAAGAGCAGGCAAACAATCAAGCACGATATTAAATTATGGATTGCATTTTTTTTACCGTGTCTGGTGGCCACACCTGGCGGTAAAGGAGCTGGGTACAAGACCACCGGAAAGACTGTGCCATACAATTGATTATCAATCTGATATATTAAATGAAATAACATCGATTGTCAAAAGTGTGACGCATGGGTGACATTGTGGTAATGCTAGAAAAGAAAGAAACAGTAACAACGAGGAAAGGCAGGCGTGAAGTACTAAATGGGGGGTTGGTTGAAACAACCTCTAGGCTGCTATAAGTAAGGGCATGGCTTACTCTTAGAATCCTGAAACAACCTCTGGGAAGATCTACGCGAGGGCACGGCTAACTCACAGATCAAACCCTGAAACGACCTCTGGGCTGATCTAAGTCAGGGCACGGTTACTTCACAGATCGAACCCTGAAACAACCTCTGGGCTGATCTAAGTCAGGGCACGGTTACTTCACAGATCGAACCCTGAAACAACCTCTGGGCTGATCTAAGTAAGGGCACGGTTACTTCACAGATCGAACCTTGAAATAACCTCTGGGCTGATGCAAGGCAAGCCGCGGATCCCCCACAGTTCAAAATCTGAAACAATGTCTGGGCTGATCTAAGTCAAGGCACGACTAACCTGACAGATTCTGGGCTATAACTAACAGATCGAACCCGGTAGCTTACCTGTATTCTGTGCATCTTGCAGTGAACACTTTGGTAGTGTCGTGATGAACAATAATGGAACCAGAACGCTGGCTCAAATGATCGCCGTAGCGCACCCTCGTGTGGAGATTTCATGAACATACGGCTGAAATCAACCTGGTAAAAAAAACAAAAAAACCCAAGATATCAATTAGCCATTTCAAAAATTCAGAGTCATCTGGACTTCGAAGATGACTTCCGCACAGGCTGTCGAAAAGTCGGTCCCCACCAACAACAGTCTTTCTCAACACGACACTCACCCTGACGATCACACTTCACTAGCTTATGCCTAGTAAACTTACTTCAGCTTTTTCATCCATTTTAATCTGTTCTTTGCCATTTTTCCAGGCGTCTTCCAGCCAGGAAGCCAGTTCAATACCGAGGGTTTTCCATCGACCTGGTGACTTCTCTACTTGCCAAACAGATGTTGAACTATAACCAAGAGAAAATGAACTAAGAGAGATGAACTCTGATATTCGTGCTTGCTACCATCATGGGCACCGTTTGATGCTATTTTTAGAATCACATTTGCCATCGTTTGTAGTTTGCGCGCGCAATATAAGAAAAACACATGAAAAATGAGCAAACAGCGTAGAGCGCGCACATTACGCGCGTGTAGAAAAAGAAACATTTAAATAGATGATTTCTAAAAACGCCATCACTAATTATATAATATAGCCTGATGGGGCGCGGGGATTCCTTCTCTTGGTTCATTTTCTCTTGCTATGACCAATAAAGTGCTACAATAACTACATATATTTAAAAAAAGATACCTTAATACCGTTTATAAAACAGCGCACTTGCCCCCTTGTTTTATGATGGTAGGTGTTGCTTGAAAACCCGTTACCCTCGATCCATGATCGAATTCGAATATAAAAGTTGATTTTAACGGATGGAGGACAACCGCGGAACCGGCCAGAAAAATACTCTTGAAGCATAGGAGAGAACCAACAAGCATCTCTACTTACATGTGACTGAGGTCTGAGGATCGATCCCTTCACCACAGCGGTGAGAGGCGAGTGTACTACCCCTACTCCACCCTTGCTACCCTTAAAGTGTCACACTCCCTAAAATTCAAAGTTAGATTTTTGTAGATTTTACCTTGATAGCGTTATGTTTGCCACCTCTTGTGGCTTACTGTTCATTAGTGACATCCCAACACCATCCAACGATACGAATAATTCAAAGGTTACTGGTTCGCATTCGCTGCTCTGTTGAATTGGGAAGAAAAATGGGGTTAATAGTAAGCCAAGATGGTAGGTTTGTTGAGTAACAATTTCCTGTTTTCAAGAATTTAAAGGAAGACTAGTAACAATTGAATTTGGAAACGAGATAAAAAATCTCTGCCATTTGGCATTTACGTTCTATTATCATAATCATCATCATCGCCATCGTCATCATAACCATCATTATCATCACCATCACAATCTTCACCACCACCACCACCATCATCATCACTACCATCACCACCACCACCATCATCACTATCACCATCATCACCTCCACCGCCACTACCACTGTAACCATCATCATCATCATCGCCACCACCACTACCATCCTCGTTATCATCATCATTAGATCACTATTATCATCATTACCACCACCATCATTAACACCGCCACCATTACCACTACCACCACCATCCTCATTATCACCCTCATTAGATCACTATTATCAGCATCACCACCATTATCATTTTCAAAAACTCAGAAACTCAGAAACGGAACCTTTTTCTCACCCTTCTCGCAGCAGCAGCTAGTTTACCATTCTGTGTAAAGATCAACACTCTCTGAAGCCCATCCAGTAAAGATACCCAATAGATAGTCTTCTTTGTTCGCTTGTTCCTTCTAAACCTTGCAGCAACACTGTCAACCTCATCTGCACCACCAGTATCATCATCAGAATCGTGAGACGGCACTGATGGCTTCAGGCAGGAAGGAACACATTTGTTGTTTGTGTCTTCCATCGTTTTACGGTCTTCTTTTATGTCTGGACCATTTGCGTTGACTTCTAGTTGAACGTGGCCATGATCGTCCTAAATTGAAAAGAAGTTTTTTTTTGCTTAAGAACCATATAAATGTTTGTTTATTGGAAAGATAGCAAGCAAGCAAGCAAGCACGTTAATATGAAAATGGGGATAATATCGATGCAACTATAAATAAATAAATAAATAAATAAATAAATAAATAAATAAATAAATAAATAAATAAATAAATAAATAAATAAATAAATAAAT